CTTTTTGTTGTGCTCATATTTAGACGTCCTATTTTGCAAATGCTGCTTTCTTGAAATTTGGTATGCTTGTTTGTCTTTGTGTCTATGGTGTATAACGATGTGATTGTGATGTTGTAATTCTGAGTGTTTTATGTGCTGCAGAACAGAAACCTGCTGTAAATCAGCAATTATGCTGAGTCAGGCTTGATTTTTAATAATCTTTTCCTGTTAAACCAATAAATCAAATCAAATCAATAAAATAAAATAAAATAGTTTGAATGGTTTTATTCGTTTAACACATTAGTTTGTTGGTGTGCCTTCCTCAGATATGAGGGGTCAGTTCTTAAACCTGTTCAGTGTTTTTATCCTCACTTCAATAAAAACAAAGTTTCAATATTATAGTGATAACCAGCTTTACTCAGCTAACCAGTGTGGAAAATCTCAAATTATAAAAGCAAAACTAATTACTTGAAGTTAGTTACTAATTTTTCTAAATCGTTTCCAATAATAATTCAAAAACTCAGCTTTCACTCACTTTTGAGTTTTGTTTGCAACACACTTCAGCGTTAGTAAAAGTCCTACCCTCTTACCTGAAGCACATTACAGGTTCTTTACATTTTATATTTAAAATAAATCACTGATATGACAACAGTTGACAAACATTTCCTGTAACAGGTGAACACAACAACTAAAATGAACTGTCTAACATTATTTGGAGGAATGTGTGTTTTGGACTAAAATGATTTATGAAAGGCCTTATATTAATTTCTGAAAATTACAAATATGCATAAAGTGTCTCAGTGACACTGAATTGGTTGTTATGGCAAAGTTTGTCACTAGATGGCGCCTCTAACGCAGACGCAATCTCGCACAAGTTTTCTCTACCAGTGAAGAAGACACAATAGCCTATATGCCACGGCTATTAGTGACGTACTTCCGTTAAAATTCAGGCCAYGAGCATAACTTCTGCGTCCTGCCTACTGCAAATTGTTTTTAGCGTTAGCTCCTCGAACTAGACCATGAAAAAGTCACAAAAGTTAAAGCGTCTGCGAGCWACTGGTATAAAAAGTGGGTTCTGTTGTGTGCTGTTGTGTCTGCTAACCAGTAGGTACAAGAGAGTAGTTAGTTTTTCTCCATTTTCCTCTTGATGAGGAGTTAAGGCGACAACAATGGATTGTGGCTATACACAGGGAAAACTTAGCCATAAAAGCTCACACTCGTGTTTGTAGTCGGCATTTCAAATCTGAGAATTTTCAAGAACCAGCTTTGGCATGTTGACCCGAGCCGACCAAACTGGATCTTAGGACAACTAGAAATAGCAGGGTTCAACACACAGAGTGGATTCTGGAACTAATCTCTTTAAGAGATGGACTTCATTCCACTCTRGAGGAACCCACAGTGAGAGGCGCCAGGTTAATGTGGGTCTACCTATATCCCCCAGTTTAACGCTTGTGTGGACGTTTTTCTCTTTAGACAGGAGGATAGTGACTTTGTGAGGGGGACTGAGCTTTAAAGGCTCCTGCACACTCCCTTCAAACTGCAGAAATGGGTTTGGATTGTCGCAGTTTCATGATGAATGTTCGCATTGCCAACATTTTGGCAGCTTCTCGACTAGGCATGGGCCGAATACCGGTTTCAAGGTATACTGTGATTTGAAAAAGTGAAAACCACTAAAATATWCAAGAGCCAGCGTCAGAAATAAGAAAACGGAGATTAAAGAAGGGAGCTGTACAATTAACCCCTTCACTGCCAAGACCMGAGAGAGCAAAGACCACCTCTAGAGGACAGACAGGAGGAATCTAACACAACAGCTAGYATATAGACTAGACATTCGGATCTTGATTATGCCACTACTTCAGACTCTGCAGCTGTGGATTTAGTGCTGGAGGTAAAYGTTATTATCTGGGAGGAAATCCGTCAGCTTYGGGAACAGTTTGAGAGCCTGACGCTGAGGCAGCTGTTCGGCATTCACCGTTTTGTTGCTTCCAACATTAGATTCTTTACAAGGTAGCTGTGTGTTTGCATTATACAGAGTATGAAATTATTTTAGGCAACTTTTTCACAAGTTTTACGCAAAAGCAAAAACTTGTCAGAGTGTGTATTACAGTGTAGACACAACCCGAGTGCCCTTCCCCTCCTGTACAAAGAGCAGCTKAACCTCTGCCTGAAAATCRTTCTGTTTTCAGTGCACCAAAGTCGGGGCAACATGATCCAAACCACACAAGTAGCCCATCAATTTAAAGTCCAGACTCCGCTCTTTCCAACAATATCAGTGTCACAGCTCAACATGAAAAATCCACAGAACAACCAGCCAAGGAACAGTGAAAAGGCTTAATTCTGGATGTCTTACCTTTTTATTTTTTGGGGTTTAATCCGCTTATTGAGTAATTTTTTCCACTTTGCTGGACTTTTGTCAATTTGTGTGTCTCCTGTGTTAATGTTGGTACATGAAATATGCAAATCCTTTGCTGTGGACAGCAGCCACCGAGTGAAAAAAGCCTAAGCTAACAGTGTTGCCTGTGGCCAAAAAATRCAAAAGTGCTAGAACGGAAGTCCATGGCATACAGGACATTAGCCCTGTCTCAGAACGGAGGTAAGAAATCTGGACAAATAAAATCTCATGTTTCAGGTAAAGTGGGAGGTAGACTCTCTGTTCACAGAACTACAAGGCAAACCTGTGTTCAGCCTTCTTAGTGAGTCTGCCATGAAGCATTTTAACATAAGTTGCCACTACACGTTGCACAAAGCTAAATATACAAATTCATAAGAACAAAAACAGAGATCTTTACCAGAACCACACAGGAGTCTGACTTCAAAGCGTCTTATGCCRCTACACTTTAGCTCGCTAAAGTGTGTTTGTTTTTGTTTGCTTCAAATATTTTGTATTTATAATTATTAAACTTGAATACAACTGTTCTAAATGGATTTGAGAAAGAAATATGTGAAGTTACTGCACTTTATATTGTTTAATAAACACATATTATATACAAACAGTTTTAAAATGGCAGTTTTATTCCATTTAGCACTTTGTGGCCCCTCTGTTAGTGTTAACAAAAATCTGTGGTCTCTTCCAACATTTAAGTTGCCCAAAACCCTGTTTTAGCTCAATATGTAAAAAACTGAGTTAAATCCATTTTTGTGTTTAATAAGKTTGATTCACTGTGATTACTTCCTGAAAATGTCCTAAAAATCCATTTTGTGGTTAATTATATATTTTCCTAAAACACAAACACACCAGTAAAACACAAAAAATGACTGTGTGCTTCACAAACTTACACGTTACATGCTAAAATAATTGGTTTTTTGGACCCCAACCTGCCWAAGTTAAAGAGCCCTCAGTAGTTTTGACAAGCCTTCTTACCTCGTCTCCTTGTTCATGAATTTTCTCTTTCTCATCGTCACTCAGAGGTTCATCTTTGTCCTGGTTTTTCTTGTCCTTGTTGGAGTCCACTGCGTCCAAGTTATCGTCTTTAGCAACCAGCTCTGATTCCCCCTTACAGATTTAGTTAGCAACAGAAAATTAGGATTAAACCAATGAGAATATGAGTGTGTAAAATATGTAACAGAAGGCACTGGATGGGTTTCTGTGCCAGTTCTGCTCTCTGCATCTCTTCTGTACTTAAAAACATACCTGATCCATGCCTTGTCCAGACTCCTCCTCCTCCTCACTTCCTCCTTCCTCCTCCTCATCATCCCCCCACATTCTTTCATCCAGAGTATCTGTTTGACCTTCACCGAGGTCTCCCATCTTTTTGTCCAGGTCTTCTTCATCCTCTTCATCCGACTCCTCATCGTCACCTAGAAAAAACACCACACAGCAAAGCTTTGTTTATTTCAGGCAATATTTAAACAGGAAAGGGGTATTTCTATAAATAGAAACACATGATGAGCCATAGAGTATCAAACAGAATCTATTAACAGATGTTAGTTTCTATAAGCCCCRCCTCCAGCTCCTAAAAAATCTTTATTCTTTGGTCCAGGACTGGTTTTTATGTCAGAGTCAGGTGCTGAGCAAGCTCCAGCCCTAATCCAGGTGATGGAACTGACCTTTACTCTCATCCCCATCATGCATCTGGCCTTTAAAGTCTTCTGACATTTCAATGGCGTTGTCTTCTGACTTAATGTTCTCCTTGTTCTCATCGTCTTCCTTCTCCTGACCCTCCTGAAAGTTGTCCTCAACCTTAAAAATAAACAGAACATGAGCTAAACAGAGAAGTCTTCTTGTATTAACATCCAGTACGTTGTTGGAGTATCACGGAAAAGGAAAAGTTTTCTTTTAAACACAGCAGCCTGGTACACTTCAAACCAAACAGAAAGCTCAGACGGAAGCTGGATCACTCTAAAACMAGTATTTCATAAACAAGGTTCATGCAGGTTTCAGTAAGTTAAATTTAAGACCTTTTAAGACCATTAGTAATGACATTTAAGACCAAATCGATGCATTAACAGAAACATTCATATAATGAAACCTTTTATTTCTATCAGTTTAGTTATTAAAGAATATTTAATTTTAATACAAGAACAATAAATTCTTTGAATGAAACAGTCATATCTGACTGCTGTGAACCGCTTTCAACCAAGTGAAAAAAATCACTGATATCAAGTCAAGTCTCATTGAAAACACACTTTCCCATGTTTAAACAACAAGCAGTGGACATGACTGAACTTYTGTTTGTTGAGCAGGTAAATAAGCCACCTGTATGTGGGGGGCTGTATGTGGAGGGTTGTAACGGCAAAGAGGTTAAAAACATGGAAGTAAACTGTGACAGTTTTACCTGCAGTTATCATGGGATTTGTAGTTTAATCATGACCAGCAGCAAAATTAGCACTTTATGAAGACAGATCTTATCAACCTCTGATTACGACTCTTAACTTTCTTTATGCAGCCAATGTTTCTCAGGAATGATCAAAAGTAGAGAAAATTAAGACTTGACAAA